AAGAGAGATAGAAAAGAGAGAAAGATGAGAGAGAGATGATGAGAGAGAAGGAGAGAGAAAGAGAGAGACCTGAAGAAGAGTAGGAGAGAGGGAGAAGACAGAGACGAGAGATGAGAGAGAGACTGAGAGAGAGAAGAAGAGAGAAAGAGAAGAGAGAGAGGAGAGAGAGAGAGAGGAGAAAGAGAGACGAGAGAGAGAGAGAGGAGATAGAGAAGAGAGAGAGAGAGAGAGAGAGAGAGAGGAGAGCAAGAAAAGAAAGGCGAAGGGAGACCCACACAGCCCGCCACCGGAAGTAGGGCGTGGTGGGTAGGGGGGATCAAGTTACCCGGGGCACAGGAGAAGGATGAGAGGGGGAAAGGTGAGGGGGGGGGGGCGCTTGCGAGGGGACGCGCTGCCCTCCCTCTCAGCTGCCCCCTTCGGCGCAGCGGGAGGAGAGGAGAGCCGTCCCCCCGCCCGCCCCGCCCGCCGCCCGCCGCCCCCGCCGCCCGCCGCCCCCCCAGGCGTTCGGAGGGAAGTTCGTGCGGTGCGCGACGCCCGTGGCCGCCGGGCAGGAGAGCCTCCAGCGCACCTGCATGATACCTGCTGGTGATTGGTCGGAAGTCACACGGCGGGGAGGTGGCGATTGGTCGGCGGGGCGGTGGGCGGCGAGTGTTCCGGCATGGGCGCGCTTGGCCAGCACGGGCGAGGGAGGGGGCGCCCCGGGGCCTGCGGGACCCCGCCACCGTGACGGGCCTTCACCTGTCGCCGTCACGCTCACGTCTGGCCTACACGCCCGCACGCCCGCATGCGTCCCCTCGCCGCGCGCGACGCCCACCCGCCATAGCTCACGGCCTAACAGTAACTCGCTCTTCAACTGATTAGCTCCCATAACTCATAAATTCGCACATGCTGCTCGCTCGGAGTAAACCACACCTCTGCTCCTCTGTTCCTCCGGCCGACGACGCCCGCAAGCCCAAACCAAACGAAAATGCCTAAACGTAAAAGAAGACGCGAAGAAACAAACAAAAACAAAAAATATAAAGCAAAATAAGGGCCAACCCTTCCCAAACGCCTGCTGCCTCGTCCACAACAAACAAACGCAAAGACAAAAGTGGAACAGTCCAATGACTATTACAGGTCGGAGACGGTAATACAAGAACAAACTTCCGCGATGATGCTCAGCAGATAGGAACTAAAGAGGGGACGGAAGGAGGAGGGAGGAGGGAGGGAGGAGGGAGGGAGGGAAGAGAAAGGCTGGCAGAAGGAAGAGACAGGAGGGAGCCAAGGGAGTGGAGGGAGAGGGATGGGAGTGTGGGGGAGAGGTGAGGGAGTGTTGGGGGAGAGGTGTGGGTAGAGTGTGGTGTGGGGGTAGAGGGTGGGGGAGGGAGTGTGTGTGGTGAGAGGGCGAGCAGGAGAGGGAGAGAGAGGAGAGAAGAGGGAGAGAGATGGAGAGGAAGAGGAAAGAGAGAGAGGGAGGAAAGAGAGAGAGAGAGAAGAGAGAGAGAGGAGAAGAGAGAGAGAGAGAGACTGAGAGAGAGAGAGAGAGAGAGAGAGAGAGAGAGAGAAGAAGAGAGAGAGAGAGAGAGACCGAGAGAGAAAGAAAAAAGAAGACCGAGACAGACAGAGGAGCAGCCAGAGAGAAGTACACTAGAGGCACAATCATTAAGAAGTCCATCCAGCTGCCCGAGAGAAAAAGCCTCGTCGACAATTGGCGGCGGAAAACAAAACTTCAACAGCCCTATGACACTACAGGAGAGGAAGAGGGGTAGGGGAGGGGAGAGTGGGTAACGCGAGGAAGGGAGGAAGAGTGGGGATGGCGGAGAAAGGAGGGGGGAGAAGAGGAAGGAAGGGGGAGAAGGGGAGAAAGGGAGAAGGAGGTGGAGGAGAGGAAGTAGAGAAGAAGTAGATGGAGAGGAAGGTTAATGAATGAAAGAGGAGAGGAAGTGAACAAGGGGGGAGGGAAGAGTGGAGGGAAATGAATGAAAGAATAAAAAGGAATGGAATGGAGGGGTGGGGGTGGGGAGTCCTTATGAGTATCGAGTAGGAGAAGTGACAGCAGGAACCCCCTAGTCCGGCTGCCTCCCCATCCATCGCTCAGCGCCGGAGATGGATAAGTCGATATCACACCGAAACGACAACTGATAGATGACATACCTATCCTCCTCCCTCCCTCCCTCCCTCTCCTCTCTCTCCTCTCTCTCTCTCTCTCTCTCTCTCTCTCTCTCTCTCTCTCTCTCTCTCTCTCTCTCTCTCTCTCTTCGCTCTCTCTCTCTCTCTCTCTCTCTCTCTCTCTCTTCTCTCTCCTCTCTCTCCTCTCTCTCTCTCTCTCTCTCTCTCTCTCTCTCTCTCTCTCTCTCCTCTCTCTCTCTCTCTCCTTCGTCAAATGTTCAACCTTTAGTCCCCAACATCCTTCCCACACACAACCACATACTTCCCTACCATGTCCTACCTGCGTGTTAATTCGCGAAAACACTTTAACACGCGTAGCCTATTCCGGACGACCTCCCGACAAACAGCGGCGCCCCAGCATACCCTAACGTGCCCCAGCATACCCTACACTCCCCTACCGCACCAATGCCCCTAATCCCCCATGCCCATCGCCCCCTGAGAACGTACCCTACACGCGCAGAAAATGCCCAAGGAATGCACTGGTGTCCTAGTCTGGCTGCAAGGAATAGGAGGAGCGGAGGAGATGGGGGGGGGGGGATCGGTGGCCGTAGGAGTGTGTTTGTGTTTGAGAGAGATCACTTGAAGGGAGATAAGAGCGAGAGGGGTGAAAATTAAAGTGTGTGTGTGTGTGTGTGTGTGTGTGTGTGTGTGTGTGTGTGTGTGTGTGTGTTGTCTGTGTGTGTGTGGTCTGTGTGTGTGTGTGCGCGTGTGCGTCCGTCCCGTGTGCGCGTGCTTATCTCACATCTCTCTTATCCATCTTATCTTAAGGCGTGCCTCTCTCCCTCACCCCCACCCCGTGTACGCGAGCAGCGCCGTGTGTGTGTGTGCGAACGGGATGGACGTCATCTCGAGAGTACCTGGCGACACCGTGCTAATGATAGCGTGATGGACAGTCCGCATTGATCCTAGGCCAGGTAGGGCCCAATCGATATCTCGCGACCCTAGATGGTGTGGCCCTTCCACGGCGCTTCCTGTAGCCCCACTCTCATTCACCCACTCACTCAATTCATTCATTCGCCCACTCACTCACCCACTCTCCCACTCACTCAATTCATTCATTCGCCCACTCACATTCGCTCACATGTGTGCACAGGAAGTGGAAAGGATGGTAATTGAGGACGTGTGTGTGTGTGTGACTGTGTGTGTAATTGTGACTTGTGTGTGTGTGTGTTGTGTGTGTGTGTGGTGTTGTGTGTGTGTGGTGTGGTGGTGTTGTGTGTGGTGTGTGTGTGTGTGTGAGTACGTATTTATGAGCGAATAAGTACACAAGTGTACACAACTTGTGTATAAGCCTTTTCATAAAAAAAAAATGTGCATCTACACGTACGTTAGCAATGGAGCATGCAACCCCGCCCCCCCCCTCCCGACTCCCCAGTGCATGCGAGCGTGCGGGAGCATCATGCCCTCCCCGGCCCGTCGTCTCCCCGCGGGCGGCCAGACTGCCAGTCGCGCAAGTAATGTCAGCCGCATCCCGTATTCCGCGCGAGGACCCGCTCGGGCGCCATTAAAAATACAAAGGAAACGTTGCGCCGCGGAAGCCACCTCCGGATGGATCTGCCGCCGCGTCGTGGAGTCGGGGCAATGACAAATACGGCTCGAGATCAAGCGAAGGGGCTCGCGAATCCCGACGGCTGGCTGCGTTGCGTCTGATGGGGAGAGGGTGGGGAAGGAAGGGTAAGGAAGAGGAAGGAGGTGAGGAGGAGGAGAGGGAGGGAGGGAAGGGGGAGGGAGGGAGGCGGAGGGGAGGGAGGAGGAGGCGGAGAAGGGAGGGTGGGAGCGAAGGAGAGGAAGAGGAGAAGAAGAGAGGAGGGAAGAGGGAAGAGGGAAGAGAGAGGGGAGGGAGGAGGGCGGAGGGGTAGGGGGTAGGGGAAGGGGGAAGGGAAAGGAGAGCAGGGAGAGGGAGGGAATGGAGAGTGACGGAAGGGAGAGGGATGGGCAAGGGAAAGGGAAGGGAGAAGAAATAAGAGGGAAGGAGAGGATGAGGAAGGATAGAGGAATTGAGGGGAGGGGAGATAAGAAGAGGAAAGGGTGAGGGGAGAAGGGGAAGATACGAGAGCAGGAGGAGTGGATTGTGGGGGCAATCAAAAGCTAGTTTAAAATCCGATGCATCAGCTGCAACCAGCATCTCGCCATTCCAGGAGACATACGGGTGCTTACTCGAGCGCGTCCCGGAGCGCGCGAAAGGCATACGGGCGCAGCGCAGAGCCGGGCGCTCCCTTTGAAGGCGGGGAGATTGATTGCCAATACATCAAGTCATCGTTTAGCCCTTGCGCCGCGGCCGCCATGGCCATGCTCAAGGCTGGGCGACGCGCCGGCGGGCGCGGAGTGGAGGCGAGACGCTGCCGGTTCTCGCTCCGCTCGTCTGCCCTTTCCGTTCTGCGCCGCGCGGAGGAGAGGACGCGGCGAGGCGCGAATGAGCCGGCGTGGACGAGGACTAATTAGACGGCGTAATGAGGAGGACTAGCGAGAAGACCTAATGAATAGGACAGAAGAACAAGGCGGAGGGACTTACCTGTAAACCTGGGTAACGTGGCGACTAGAAGGAGGAGTAAGGTGAGTATCGAGGAGTACGAAGGCATGCTGCTCCTGGACCTGGACGATGTGGGCGCGGGTGTGGCGGCGGTGCCGGCGCGGCGGCGCGGGGCAAGGGCACTGTGGGGGCGGCGGGCCGGCTGCTGCGGCGGCGTGGGCCTGCACTGCCCCCACTGTCCATAACGCTACAGTCCTGACACTGCCCACCGCACTGGCACCACTGCCCCACCACCGCCGCCACCGCGCACCACCCTGGAGGGGCCCGCCCCGACACGACACGCCTCCTGAAGCTGCTGCTGCTGCTGGCCTCGCCTCCGGCGCCCGCCGAAGCCTCGCCCTGCGACGCCACTCCCCGCAGCCCTCACAACACGCACAGTGCTGCTGCTGCTCCTGACGCTGGTGGAGGGGGAGGTGGTGGAAGTGCTGACGTCTCTGCTGTCTCGACGCTGGCGTCCACGCTGCATCGTCGCCAACAGTCTGAAAGGAGGAAAGGTGGTCACGCGAGGCTCGCTCGGGGGGAGGGAGGGGGGGGGGCACGCCGGCGACGCTGCGGAATCTCGAGGGGGACTTACCGAGACGAGGAACGGAGGGAAAGACGTCGCCGAGGCCTCGCCCTCCAGGCAAGGTCTGGAGTGGGGGCTGCTGCCGGGCTGCAACGCACACTGCACTTGCAACAGCCTGGTGCAACTCCGCCTGCCTGGGAGTGGGGGCCGCCGCCGCTCCAAAATAGCGGCTGCCTGGCTCGTGCCCGGACGACGTCACGCTCTCAACGCCCTCCGCCGGCCTCCGGCCCCCATGCCCCGCCCCCGCCCCCTCCATTCTATGCAAGCGATGGCGGCGGCGGAGGCGTCGGAGGAGGAGGAGGAGGAAACGCATTCACTCGATGGCCGGCGAGGGCGCGGGCGGGGAATGGCCAAGGACGCACGCAAGCACCCCCTCCCCCCGACCAGTAGCCACAGACCGCGTGGCTCTGCTGGACCCCTCGCCCAGCCCCTCCCTCCCCCCTCTCCCAGCCTCCTCCCGATCCGTACCAGCCGCATCCAGACTTCAAAGGAGAATGTAAAGTACATCCATTACATATTTTCGGACTTATCCCCCCCTCCCACACCCGCTAAAAAAAAATTATATAATAAATACAAAAAAAAAAGTACAATTTTCCCTTACCTTCCCCAAACACTCAAATTTCCTTTCAAAATATTAAGACGTGTGTCGAGTAACAGGCAAGGAAGTATACATTTTTCGCTATTTTCAGCCGGGCCACACACGCGCGCACCGCCCATGCACATAAACACAAGCAGATACAGACAGGTACACAAAAAAAAATGGAGAGGAAAAAAAAAAAAAAAAAAAAAAACTTTCTTGATATGAAACAAACACCTCATTCCCCTTTCGACTCCTCTCTAGTGCCAGCCACCGCCCAACGGATGCCCGCTACCGGATGCCCTACCAGATACCCCTACCAACGCCCACACCCGTGTCGTTCGCTTTGAGCAGGACCTTGCCTTTGCACACAAACACACAGGACCTTTTCTGCCTCTTCTATGTCCCCCAAACCATATTGAGGAAAAAACAGACACAAAAAAAGGGGGAAGACAGAGATAAGATGGGAGATGGAACGAAGGAGAATCAACCGAAAAAAGGGGGGAAAGACAGATGCAAGATGGGAAGGAAACGAATGAGAAACAGACGAAAAAGGAAGATAAAAGACGGACGCAAGATGGAAGGAAACGCGATCGAAATATCTCGGCAAAGCCACCCTGAAAGACGAATTCCGAGCAAGCAGCGGCTCCCATAACGACGTGTTTACGAGGGGAAAGTGGGTCTCCTGCCCTTCTTTTGTCTCTTCTCTTCTTTCCCCTTCCTTGTCTTTCCCTCTACTTCCCACGACCTAAAATGAACAAGAGAATGCCCAACACTTTAGAAAAAAAAACTACTTACAGCAATCACTCAATCAACCCATCAATCTACTATCTACAAACAACCAATCCATCTAGCTAGCTATCTCTTCTTTACAACAACCATTCAAAACAATCAATCCCATCATCTATAACCTCCCCCCCCCATCTCATCCCCTCCCCCCCTGAAACCAACTCGCCGACACGAACTCCCCACCCCCATCACCTCTGAGTACCCTCCCCACCCCCACCCCACACCCCCATCGGACCAGCTGGAGTCAGACGCAGGCACTGTTGACGCGGCGACAACGGCACTAACGAGATTATGCGACGGGGCGCTGCTGCTGCTGCTGCTGGTCGTCGCGCCGTCACAGGACAGTACTCGCGAAGGACATCTCTGGCGCCTCCCGCTGCATGCTGGTCTTCGCCGTCATATGCGCGGGGGGGAAGGGTAGAGGGGGGGGGGGTAAGGGGGGGAAGGAGGGGGAACAGGGGAAGGGAGGGGGGGGGAGGAGAGGGAAAGAAGGAAGAGGGGGGGGGAGGAAGAGAGCGGAGGGGGGGGAAGAGGGGTAGGGAGATGCGGGGGAAGGGGAACAAGAGGGGGGAAACGGGGAGAAAAGGAATTAAGAAAAAGAATGTTTAAGAGGACAGCAAACAGGAAAGCAAAGCGAAACGAATAAGAAGAGAAGGACAGGACAGAAAGACAGAAAGACAAAGCAAAGACAGACTGGGCGAGGGAGGACGTTTGCTTGTAAAATAAAAGCCACGGCGCCGCTCCAGGAAGCCGCATCGGAGATAAAGGGAACACAGTCGTTACTCTAGACAGGTGGTTCTTCTGTTCCGTCTGGGCGCCGCGAGCATGGCACTCTAACGGGCGTGGCACCGCAGGAACAACACCTCCGTTCACGAGAGAGAGAAGAGAGAGAGAAGAGAGAGAGAGAGAGAGAGAGAGAGAGAGAGAGAGAGAGAGAGAGAGAGAGAGAGAGAGAGAGAGATGAGAGAGAGAGAGAGAGAGAGAGAGAGAAAGGAGAGAAAAAGAAGAGAGAGAGAGAGAGAGAGAGAGAGAGAGAGAGAGAGAGAGAGAGAGAGAGAGAGAGAGAGAGAGAGAGAGAGAGAGAGAGAGAGAGAGAGAGAGAGAGAAAGTAACAAACGTTTCATAACACTCCCCCCTACACCCTTACCCCCACCCCCTCCACACCATCTCCCGGTGAGAAACGTTCACAATTCCCACCGACCAAAACCAGCAACCCCCAACTCTTCCGCGAACCGAACAAGAAACAAAACAAACCGAACAGACCGCCCAATAAAACAACAACAATCCCCCCTTTAAACAAGCGAAAAGGAAATCCAAAGACCCGGCGTAATGCCATTAACACGCCACTTCCCCTAACATGGTCACAGCGCGTTTGAACCCAAGACCCAAACATGGACGCTGCAGATCCGGGTAGAAATCGTCTCGTCGGACCGCTCGTACTCGCTTGCGCGTGCGCGTGCATGCGTGCGTGTGCGTGGCGTGCGTGTGTGTGTGTGAGCGCGCGCCGTGCGTCGCGTGCGCGGGTGTGTATATATACGCGGGTCTGGCCAGCTTATCGGAAGTGACGCCACAGAGGGAAGCGCAAGCAAGCGGGCGAACAGGCACAGCAGTGTGCGGGGAAGTGTGCCTGCAGTATTCAGGAGTCATCCCCCCGCCCGCCGCCACGGAGGCCCCCGCCCGCACCGCCCACCACGGGCGTGTGTGAGAAGGAAACGCGGACGTGGGCGGAATACGTTAAGGCCGCCGTTGCCCGCTCAGTGAGGAGAGAGAGCGTGCGTGCGTGCGTGCACGTGCGCGTGCGCGTGTGTATGTCCATTTGTGTGCGCGTGTAGTTAAGTCTATGTGTGTGTATATGTGTATGTGTGTATGTGTGTGTGTGTGTGTGTGTTGTGTGTGTGTGTGTGTGTGTGTGTGTGTGTGTGTGTTTGTGGTGTGTGTGTGTGTGTGTGAGAGAGAGAGTGCACGCGCGGCGCATCCAGGAGACGGACGATAAACTAACATATTCATGTTATGAAAGGTAAACTACACATATAAACAAGAAAGTCGCGCGATAACAAAAAAACATAAAAATGACGAGAGAACACCCTCGAGCATAAGCAAACCCTTCCCTCCTCCCTCCCTCCCCCTCCTCCTCCCTCCCTCCCCCTCCCTTCTCCTCACCCCTAAAAAACTCCTCACTTTTCGAACCTCTCCCTTGATACTAGGGGGGATGGACCTCGCCCGCGCCTAGGTTGCTTCGCCTAGCCTATCTTACCTTGGCATTTGACACTGGCACCGAACCCCCTCCCCCAGCCTCCCCCTCTCCACCTCCCAGTTCTTCCCAGCGCTACCCTACCCTCTCGGCCCCTTACCCCTACCCTTCCCCCTCCCCCCCTCACTTTGCTCCGTTCACCGCCCTGCCCAGACGCGAAGCCACGAGCACGTACGCACACACGCACACGCGCGCAACACAACACATCGGGTCTCGTGTGTAAACATGGCGGACCGAATTAATTTTCTCTCTCTCTCTCTCTCTCTCTCTCTCTCTCTCTCTCTCTCTCTCTCTCTCTCTCTCTCTCTCTCTCTCTCTCTCTCTCTCTGCCTGACCCACTCTACAATCTATCTATACATCTATCTATTTATCTTTATCTATCCAATCAACATATTTGGAAGACAATAGAAACCTCAATATTACTTTCATTCCACTATTTAGACACACGCGCGTCGAGATATCAATCAAAACATCTTTGCACTGTAAAAGGAAACGCAATGGACTATCACACGTTAAACGGTTCCCCCAAATAAATCAGACTTCAATCCGCCCAATCTCCGCCTCCTCCCCATCTATTCAATCTCCACACCCTGTCTATCCATCCAACCATCAGTGTGTCCGTCTGCCTGTCTGAAGTCCGCCATCAACTGTCGTCGAGTGAGGCGCTGCACTGTAACCGCGGGCTAAAAAAGCAACAGGAAAAACGTCTCGACAAACACAGTTCGGAGACGTACCGCTACGAGGGGGGAATGGGGGGTGGGGAATGGGGAGAAGAATGGGGAATGGGGGAGATGGGGAATGGGAGGGGAATGGGGGAGGAAGGGAGAATGGGGAGAAGGGAGAAGGGGGTGGGGGGAATGGGGAATGGGGAATGGGGGAGGAGGGGGAATGGGGTTTGGGATGGGGAGGAGAGCACAGAGTGTGGAATGGAGGGGGAAGGCACAGGGAGTGAGGAATTGGGGTTTGGGATGGGAGGAGAGCACAGGGGTGGGATATGGGGGATTGGGTACAGAGAGGGGGAGTGAAGGAGGGGGGAGTAGTGGGGAATGGGAGGGAGAGAAAAGGGTGGGGATGTAGGGGGGTGGCGTGAGGGAGATGAAGACGGAGGGGTGTAGAGGAAGTGGAGGAAAGGAGTAGAAAGAACCCCCCCCCAAAAAAAAAAAAGACGATGCTAGAGAATAAATATGAGAAAATAGCCCACAGTACCGGTATTCATGCTCGTGTAAAGAAACGAGTAACATTTAGAAAAATTACCTCGAAAGTATAATCTCGCGGTCAACGCATGGAGTGTGAGAAG